ACATAAGTTTAATGTATGCAAAGTAACCAATAGGTCTTCTGTTTTACACAACATATAGTAACTAGACTTAAATATATAAAATAACCAAATTTTGGGGCACCTGTACTCTTTGTATTTGGTACAACTAAGTCCTGTCATCTAAAACTTGATTGACATCTATTGACTTTGGCCATATAAGCATTTTCTTATTGCATAAATGAGATGCACTTGTATAATGGATCATAAGTACTTACACAGGTCTGTGCTGTTACTATGTAAAGCTGTTAAAGAACTCTAAATTTCACCTTAAGAGTAAAAACTACGTGAACATGTAAGGATTTCTATGTAGCTGTGATGTGAAGTATCACTGACTTCTTTGTGCTGTGAATACATTTACATTCACCAACTGTACAAGCCTTCTAAAACACAAAACTTAGGAGATTACCTTACCACATTGGGGCCCACAGAAAAACTGACTGCTTTTCATAGTAGACTTTTGCAGGCTTCAGTTTACATGTTCTTAATTGTATTATGATGGATGTGGCTAAACACTACGTAGTGTAGGCAGTGCCACTAATGGGTGCAGACTGGGCCTAGTCACCTACAGAGTGCATCTACAAACAAGTACGTTCTACTTAGCCACTTTAGTCCATGGATTTGTATGTGTGTTTCTTTGTTTTTTATGGTACCTAGGACTAGACCAAGATCTTTATACTGAGCTATACCTCCAGCCCTTTATTTTTTATCTTAAGACAGGGACTCACTGAGATGCTAAGGGATTGAACTTGTGATCCTTCTATCTCAGCCTGCTAGGGATTACACGTGCATACCACTATGCCTAGCTAGATATTTCATTTTAAAATCTAGCAAATTTGCTAATGTATGTTAAAATTTTATAATTGGATAAAAGTAACCTACTAAGATATTTTACACTGCAATGGGAATTTCAACTTACTTTTAGAGCCATAATAGAAAGACTTTAATGGTTGAAGTATAATAATGTCATCATAATTCTTATCTTAAAATGCTATGTTTGCTTATAGTTTTCACTTTCCATTTTTCATGTAAAATTTTATAATTATTCTCTGTTAATGTTCTGCAGGAATATTACTTCTAAAAACAATCCAGACAGTATACTAAGGTGGTAGGCCATCGGCTATAGGACAGATTTATGATGACTCCTAATACTTACACTGACCAGTAGCGAAGAAGATAGCTATTCTCTTAGTTGTACTTTGTATTTCAAAGTATCTTGATATCCAACAGGATTACTATAATCAGTATTAAGACCTATTGGTAGATGTGACCTTCTGAGTATTTAACAACCAAAACTTGGAGACCAAGATGAGCAAGATAAAAGGGCTAAAAGGATAGCCAATATTTTTGGCCCTTGTCCTCCAAGGACAGCTAGGACCCGGGCACAATGGAACCCTATGGAAAGGCCCTGCAACTCTGGTTAGTCATGCAACCTCCTATGCAGTGAGATTATCAGGGCCCCTGGGACAGGAGTCAACCAGTGTACAGTGGGTGAAAAGGAAGGTCACTAAAGACCTTCTAACAGAAGTCATATGTTAAGCACGTCTGACCCATCCTGGCAGAGGACACACTAGTAGAGAGAACAACTAAAGGAGCTAAGTGACTACTCATTTTGTCTCAAAAGTAGTCTCTGAGGAGCCTTACCTGATCTTGACAAACATGTAGATAGGTTGATTTTAATTAAGACAGGTCTTACTTAGACTTGGTCTTAAATACCTAGTAGGAAATTATAATCAAAAAAAGTAACTTATAAGCAGTATAAAAACAATGCTAAGATACATATAAACAGTGGCTACAAATACTGTCCCTGTTTTTACTGACAGTCTCCAGCTACACCTGTCTTCAGTTCTACAAAATAGAGGTGATATTAAGGATACAATAAAATTTTAACAGCCCAGTGGTCACAAAACAGTAGTTTTATTATTTACTTATTTATTTATTTATTGTTAGCGGAACCAGGGATTGAACTCATGCCCTTGCGCTTGCCAGGGAAGTGCTTATTCTACTGAGCTATCTCCCCAGCCCAATAGTTTTATGTAGTGTATTCCTAGATATTGTTATACTTAAAAAAAGAAGACATGGATTTATTGTTGGCAAAACAGAGGGGAGTCTGCATGCTCTTAAATTCTACCTGTTATATTTGGGTTAACGTCTCTGGACAAACAGGGATCAATATGAAAAACAAAAGGCTTATACCGAATGCTTCCAAATTTTTCCTGACTTATACAACATCTTGGAGTCACTGTTCATTAATATTTTATTGTTACTCTTGGCTTCTGCTTATTTAATATAGTTACAAAACAAAGCTTGGGCATCAATATCTTGCTAATATTCTTGTCCTCTTTTCCAATCTATCAAAAAAAAAATGATGGTTCTTTGAACAACAGAACCCCATATCACTATTTCCTTTAGGTCAGTCAGAGTGAGACTTATGGTCTCTGGCTATGCAGGGTAAATGTCTCCCTTCAGCCTGATGGAGAGCCATAAGACAGTGAAGCTTCAGTTCTTTTGTATCCCTTAAGAATAAGGACTGAGGGCTGGGGAGATAGCTCAGGGGTCTAAGCAGCTGCCTGGCAAATGCAAGGACCTGGGTTCGATGCCTGGTACCACATGCTGTTCTGCCGTCTGGGACACTGAAACCAGGCCTGGTGGTACATGCTTGTAATCCCAGCACTGAGGAGGCTGAGATAGGATCACCACAAGTCTGAGCTGTGTAGTGAGAGCTTGTACCAAATAAATAAATAAATAAATAAAAATAAAAAGTATGAAAAAACATAAGGATTGAACTCTCAGCAAGGAAATGAAGTAGGGCAGAAAAGAGACAAGAAGAACTTGTCTCACAACTTAAAAATGGTATTTTTAAGAAGACTGCAACTTCAGTACACCATCACGGTTACACAAAGCTATCTACACCCGCACTCCCTGGGATCGTGTATGCTTCTTTTCTTTCAGGTCCAGAATGCCCCATATCCCTTAAAGATACTTAAAATCCATCAAAAAAATATATTGATAGAATTCAAATAAAATAAAATCCATCAATTAGCTTAAATAAGGTAAAGGGCAGAAACCTAACTTTAAGAGATACAATGGAGTAGTCCACTGCCCTTTTCCTGTGCACTGAGCCACTATCTCTCTACTTGGGTGTGAGTCATTGTTTTTCTTGTGCAAACCAAGCCCAAAGTTTTCCAATTTAACAAGTCCACTGATTTCTACAACCCTAAAACCTATAAATATCCCCAATATCCAGACTGAGGCATGACTCTACCTTGAAGTGCTCAGCTCTATTTTTTTTTTTTTTTTAGACACCTTAAACTCTGCCCAAATAAACTTTATTTTTTGGCAGAACCGGAGATTAAACCCAGGTTCTTGGACTTGCTAGGCAAGCACTTGTCCTACTGAGCTATCTCCCCAGCCCCCCAAATAAACTTCTTTAAACCACATAAATAAATATATAGATAAAATATATTGTACATGATGCAAAAAAATATACAATTCAGATTAATGCAAGCATTCCCTCTAGTTAGCAGAATTAATGAGCTTTACTATATTACTATATGATTTATAACTAGAAAATGGTACACTCAATTTTGTAGTCATGATTAATAAAAATTATACTTACGGACAAAGTTCAACTTCTAAATACTGCTCAGTTACATCATTCAAGAAAAATGCTTCCACAACTTTTGAAAATAGAAATAAGATATATTGAGAAATTTGTTTGCTTCAATGATACAGAATTTTTAAGAATATAAAATGAATTAAACAAGTGTTTTTAATTGTCACGCTGTCTCCAGTGGGAAAAGGGGTAAAATAAACACATTGTTTGCAGGAGAAATACACGAGGCATCATCCATTTTCTTCCATATCAGATTGCCATGAGACAAAAACATTTATAAAGCCCAGGATTGGTGAGGTCATAGAGAAATCAATATTACCACACAGACAGACTCTGAGCCAGCTATTTTCTGACAGGAATTTCTCCTAAGGAAATAAATCAGACAGCTAGGAAAAGAAGTATGATTCTATTTATCAAAATATAATCAAAGAGTAGAAATAATATAAACTATTATGTTTTCTCTTAGAATATTATTTTTCTATTTTATAGATAAATCTCCTATTATGCAGAAAAGCTGACAAACTGTAGAATTCATGTATCCCATTGACACAGGAGATCAGAGCATGGCAAAGCTGGCTTGGGAAGTGGGCGTGGCTTGTTAATTACAAGATCTTGGGCAACATGCCATGCGCAGAACAGCTCCCAAAGCCCTGCATGTGAACTTCTCAGAGAACTCAAGCAGGTTTCCAATAATATGCCTAAAGCAGATGTCAGTCTGAAGCACACATCCCAGCACCACCTCTCAGGACCCGTATGCATAAGTTCTCTGGTGTTTCCGCAGGATGTGGACAGTATAGTGTAAGGCTAAAAGCTAAACTTCTGTATGCAACTGATTGGTGTTTCTACAATAAGTGAAATATCCTGAAACTTCCATAAAGAAGGTTTATAAGGTTGAAGAGGCAATGTGAAGATACAGCCCTTAACAGTCAACAAAGGGAATGCTGAACTCTTCTTAGATTAGGTTATAGAAGTAAAGGAAGGATCGAAGGAAGTGACCTAAAACTCTGGACTTGTAATTGTCAGTTTTTACCGTCCCACTTATGCAGATGAAGTCACGTATATAATGAGGAAAAAGTCTGAATGAACAACTGGTAGGACACAGCAGATCCTGTATGTGTCAGCTGCTCAGAAGCACTCACTTCCAAGCAGCAAGATAAAATAATATTTCATGAGAGATTATTATAAAAAGATTTATGTTTGTAATAAAATGCGGTCCTTCTGCTTACCTTCATAATCCCACAGTTCCTTGAAAGGCTTTCCTGGTTCTCCAAGTGGGGCTGGGGGATCATTGAAAAATGGAGCACGAACCTCCATCATCACTCCTCCATCACCTGGATCCAGCGTGAGAAACACTGGCTCATGCCTCACTGGGAAACCATTCCAAGTGTGTGCAATTCTAAAATCCATCTGAAGACTGGAAAGCAAGTAATATATTAAAATAAACAACAAGACACAAAAGTTCCTTTAGTTATAAAGGAAATTTTTCATGTGAAATAATAGGCAGGAAGGCAGCAGGGTGTCAAGGAAAAGGTACCAGGCATCAGAGCACCATCTGTACTGTGGTAAACCAGGGACTCGAGTTCTAGTCTAAAAGTAGTAGGATCCTAAAAAATGTAAGACATTTGGTCTAGTTCCAGCTCTTGTTTTCTCATTAAGAGTGCACTAAAACCAGTTTTTAAGGATGTAATTAGGCCTGTTGCAGAAATTGTTAATATAGTTAACTTTAAGTACTGTGAGTTTGTGCTTTCTTTTGTCTATCCTATTGTAAAGTATGCAAGGGGTCTGAGTTACTTGATTCTCTGGGAATTAAGACCTTTATAATAAAATTAAATAAATTAAAAACTATAAATTAGTATAAATAGAATTATTAACACCTCTTTTGTGTTTTTAAAAGCCTTTTGTGGGGGGAGGAAGAGACTCCAACATTAGAAGGTTGGTAGAAATGAATTTTGTGTTCAATTATCCCAGTGTATAGAAAATTTTTGTCTTTGCAATTTTTGACATTTCAACTGTTAAAAGACCAGTTGCTTGGTTAATTTATTCTTTCCAACTTAAAACTGCGAACAGAATCTGCTCTCATTTAAGCTTTAAAATCAACTAAGAACATGTGAAATAAACACACAGTTTGCTTTTTTTAATATGTATTTGGTATAGTGGCTGGGGAGATAGCTTAGTAGAGTATGTGCTTGCCTGGCAAGTACAAGGTCCTGAGTTCGATCCCTGGTATCACCACAAATATATAATTGGTATAGGTTCTACAGGGTCTCACTATATAGATTGGACTCATAGTGATCCTCCTGTTCTCAGCCTCCCAAGCGCTGGGATTACAAGTGCAGGCCAGCATGCCCAGTCTCAATCCCCTACTCAGTGTGCCCTGGGGGCAGGACCCACACTGCATGCCAAAGATCGAATGGTGGCTGCTGCGCTCTGCCTAACAAAGTGCTTTAGTCCGCTGAGCTATCTGGTGGGCCCAAACACAGTCTGCATTTTAAATTATTTTCCTAAGTATTCAATGGAGGAGCATAGTATTAAGTTGGTAAAATTACATTTTGTTGATCAAGCATTTCATAAACATGGTTTCATTTACTTTCAGTACACAGTCATGTAGGAACTATTATTACCCTCACTACAAATGAAGAAACACATGTGTCTAAGGTCAAATGATCAATACCTAGAAACTGAACCATTATCAGCCTTGAAGACATTGAAGAAATCTGCAAGGAGATGAAAACTTTATTTTTGGATTGATAGATTCGCCAAATTATATTGGCTGCCATGTCTTATCCAGTTCATAACCCTAATTTAGTGTGATAATCTCTCCAAACTGTACCTTCCATATCTGAAACTTTTGAATGCATTCGCTAGTTTCACAATGTTATTTTTATTCCAATTAATGAAGCTATTAAATTTTGAATGAATTCAATTCAGCAAAGATGTATCTTGTACTTACTATATACTAAATAGTAATATACATAAGGCTTGTAAACTACACACAGAAGGGTTGTGCCACATAATGAATCCAAGATCTCTGCAATCATTTCTAAAGTACCTAGTTTTTGCACTTCTTGGGTTTTAAAATGTTTAAAAGATAAGCTCTTAAATAGTTTTGGTCTTACAACCCATTTGTAGAAACTCATAGCATTTGAGAGGAAATGTTCAGCAGTTCTTATTCTTCACTACTGGAATAAGTTTCATGAATGATAAAACTATATAAAGTGATTTGTATCATATGAAACATAGCCTTAATTTTTATTTTTATATTTATTTATTTATTTTTGATACAGGGAGTTGAACTCAGGATCTCACAAATGCTAGGCAGGCTCTGTGACACTGAGCTATATTCCTGGCCCTGTAGTCTTAAATTTCATGGAATAAAATGCCTTAATAAATGTCATAGTTATTTTTCTTGTTGCTGAGACAAAAATACCTAACACCCAAAGACAAAGGAGAAAAAGGTGATTTAGCTCACAGTTTGCAGAGGTTTCAGTTATCAGCTGGCCTGAAGGCAGGGCGGCAAGGCAGACAGGCATTACAGAGGACAAGCAGTTCATGGTGGTGGAACACAGTAAAAGCACCAAGCAAAGGACCTTAGCATCCTCTTAACTTTTATATCCTTATCTTTTTATCTTACTCAGGCTACTCAGGGCAAGCAGCACTCACATCCTTAATCCTAGAACCCTTGCTCCTAGCACTGCAGCATGAATCAATCCCAGCATCCCATACTTCAGATCCCGGCACCTCTGAAAAAGCCCCACTTGTGATTGCATGAGGTTTTGGGTGGGACCTCTAGACAGGA